GCGGCGTTATTCACAATAGCTAAGACTTGGAAACAACCAAAATGCCCATCGGTAGATGACTGGATTAAGAAACTTTGGTACATATACACAATGGAGTATTATTCAGCCAAGCGAGTTCTTAACCATCGCGCCACTGGGCCGGCCCTCTGCTTGTTTATTAATACACATTGCTAAGAGCTGCCTGTCTTTTTAAAGGCACACTTACATTGATTTGCATATAAATGGCATATTAAAAATCGCCCTTCAACTTTAGGCGAACCAAGTGTTCATTTGAAACATTGCATCTAAAAAGATTTCATTGGAAGGATAAATTTTGAAATAATATTTCAAACACGATTGTCAGTTTTCTTTGTAACTTGAAGTTTTCATCAACGTTTTGCAATTCTAGCAAATGGTTCTTTGCAATGCAAAGGAACACCTGGGGTGTATTCAAATTTGTAAATGTTTGTTCGCTTTTTGAATTGAGTTATGTCAATGCGACTGTGTCTTAGATTTTAAAATATTACTAAAGATAGCCTGAGAATGATGACCTTGAAGGTATTTCACATTCAGTGAGATAAATTCATCTAGTTACCTCACGACATGTTTGATCTTTAGAACTCCAGTAAAATGTGTAGCTTTAAAGAAGCCATCCCACAGTTATCCTTATTAGCTAAGTTAATAAGGTTACACCATTTCAGATCTTTGAAAAAAATCAGAATTTAAGTACTGTCTCTTTGGAATTTCCATCAAGAGCTTCTTGAATACTATAGTTTTTCAACTATATTTCTATTTCTTGCGTACAGATACTGTTTTCTTACATGTCTCTGTGTGTGTGTATATGTAATTTAACAGATTGTAAAACCCTGGAAAATGCCTACTAGTACCATTTTTTTAAACATTTCTTCAAGTTTTGTTAGTAGTAATAGGTAGTAATCTCAGGATACTTGATTCTGCTGTGTCAAAAGCATAAAGCAAATTTACAATGATAAAGGCCAGAATCTCCAATAGAAAACATTGTGAAAAAACCAACCAACCAATAAACAGGGTAGCTTGGCCCATCCATGGAGCTTCAGAAGACTGTAAATCTCTTTTACATTATATGCAACATTTTAATATTGTGCATTGTTGTTGTTTTTTTTAGGAAAAGATCCCTAGTTTTCCTAAGATTTTTGAAGCCTGATCACAAAGACGGTTAAGAACCAGGGATGTAGAGGCAGAAAGAAACGTTATTATAACTGGGATTTGGTTCAGATTACTCCTAGAAAGTGCTACGATTTGTCATATCTAAGCAACAAATATTCATATAGTTTTTTTCATTTTTAATAAAAATGCCTTTAAATATATTTTAGGAAGTTAATTAATATTAGTATAAGTGCATTCATTATTTTAGGAGTATACAGATGTCACACTAAAGAAAAACTTAAACTCACCTAGGTTCATAGATGAGTAAATTGGGATGCAGAGAAGGCAAGTACCTTGCTGGAGCAGGTCCAATAGTTTAGTATAAAAGTAGACCAGAAGGCAGACGGCACTTGTTTGACTTACTGTCCACTGTTCTTTCGGTTTCAATAATTATAGTTTCGTTGAAAAATGTCTTCTCATTTCAGTAAATCTCAGGGTGAAATGAATTAAGAAATAGGTTTGTATTTTGTGGTTCTTGTTGGAATGAATCAAGATCCTACAAAATAAGATGGTTCTAATTTTTCACTTCATATTTAAAGCAGCTACAGTGTGGTGTGTTAATGAGCTAGTCTGTCATTCTTAACCTTTTCCAGTTAGTACATAATAGCAGGTTATAATTACATTTGTCACAGAGATTGGATTTTCACTGTAGTTGTATTTCTTCAAAAATTTTAAGCACTTATAGTTTAAATTCTGTCTGTCCATGAAATTATAATGTAGTAAAACCCAATCCACAGAAAGTTTAACTATTAAAATAAAAATAATTTCTTAGCTGCTTTCATGTAGTTAAACGTTGTTCTATGAGACTTGCTTTCATAGAAAAGAATTTCAAAAAGATTTTAAAACGCAATACTGATGTCAGCACAAGGTATTCATTTTATGTATTGTCGTTAAAAAAAATCTACAAGTTAATTGGGAGGGATGCATTTTAATGTGGTTTGCAGTAGAGAGGCAGTATAGTACTTGCTTTTCTATTTGTTTCCTTTAATTGGGGATTTTGCTCTAAGCCATTCCTTACAATGTTTTCAAGACCTTTCAGACATGGAGTCCCTTTCAGTAAGACACTTCTATTTCTCATCCTTACCCTCTTTGGCTCTAGGACCCCTTCCTGATTTGTTTCTAACTCTCCAGTTTTTATAGATTGTTAATACACTCAAGTAAATCATCCTTTACCCTCCTGTTTCCATCATCTTACATTTTACGTATTTGGCTTGCGTATTATTTGTGGTTTTCATAGTTTTTTGCATTATAAATATATGTCAGTATGCAGGTTTATTTAACCTTTCTATCTCTATTGGTTAAATCCTCATTATAGTACACTACCTAAGTTCAGAAGTATCTTACCAAAGGGAAGGGATATGGAAAATGTTATAGTAGTGCAAATGATTGGAGACACAAAGCTTTCTTGTTTGCTGCTATTATCCCCATCTCTTAAAACAGTGCCTAGCACATAATAGGTGCTCAGTAGATATTGAATGAATGAACAAATACTGTTTACAAACTAGAATTATGCAACTTTCAAAAGGGATGTCTCAGGGAAGACGGAAAATGGGTATATGATGGGTTAATTATATATAAAACTAATGATTATTTACATTTACTTAGGGTTTTAAAATAATCAGGTTTTGACAACAAAGGTTTAAATTAGATTTATACATTTTATATTTGTCCCTCCCACTACCACACATGCACGCACACGCACATGCACACATACATTATTTAGTCAACAAATTGCCCCCTTTGTCTATCCTTTGCCCTTAATTGGTTTCTTTACCTTCAGTTTCTTACTCCAACATATTTACAATTAGAGTTAATTTCCTAGAACAAAGCTGATTGTACCACCTTCAATAGCCAACAGGACACACAACCCTTTTTTAGGGCATATAAAACTTATTCCCTGCAGCTCCATAGATTTCACGCCTTCCTCTGCTCTACCTATAACACATTGCTTGTTATTGTTAGGTAACATTTTATATGCTGTTTTTTGTACCTAGAATACCTTCTTGTCACCAAGGCTTTTTTAAAGAAAAGACTCACTTTTATTAGGAAAAGATTTTTTTTGGTGTCGAATACTGTTCGGGGCACTGAAACACCTTTCCTCCCCGAAGGTACTTACTCTATACTGGGCTACCACAGCGTTTTCTAATGTCTACTAGTGTGTTTGGGGAAGCAGTTCATGGCAAGAAATAACCAATAGTAATTTCAATTTCTAATTATCAACAGGTAGAAGAACTTAAATATTCGAACAAACTAGAAATAACAGACATCAAACTGGAGGCAGCAAGAGCTAAGAGTGAGCTAGAAAGAGAAAGGAATAAGATTCAAGGCGAACTGGATGGTAATATATAATTACTCATGCTTTTCACTATTTTCACATATAAACTAAAATTATTAAAATAAATCAAACTGAATTTTTATTTCCAGATTTTCAGCTTAATGGAATATTTAATCTTAGAACAACACATGGATTGTTTTTGTTTATATGTTGAATGTTCATTCTGTGATCTAACTTTTTAAATCAATCTTGTTTATATCATAGTAATTTCATTAATACATAAATTAAGTAAAATTTTACAAGTTGGATTCCATATTTCCTGGGTTTATAATTTTAAACGATTTAGATCATGTGATTATTAGTCTTAGGCCGTTTGAAGTCTAAAGAATGTAAGGAAGATAGGTGGGTTCTAGGCTCAACTTTTAAGTTTTTAAAAAAATTTTATATAGACTCTAGGCCAATTATTGAGCCTAGTTCAGCTGAGGCTTAATTTTAAACTCCAGTTTAGTATTAGAATGTCTTTCTCATCAAGATTCCTCAGAAATGGTTTTCTTTCTGACTTTTCTTAAGTACTTAAATAAGCTGTCTTTGGCCTGTAACTGCCCTTGAGTTGGTCATTAGTTAAACTGGCCTCAAGTTTTAGACAGAGCTTATTTTCATAATTTTTATCTACTTGATATTGGCTCATGGATTTACCTAAGAGTTAGGGAGCAAATTTTCTTAGGAATTTAAGGAGTTGGGATCCAGTTTTGTATTCTTTTTTAACTTTGAGTTAGATATGAATTTTAGTTCTTCCATCTGCAAAATACTTTGTCATCTTATTACAAGAGAGATTTGTGAATTCATTGTACAAACTTGAAAGTTTCCAAATTATATTTCTACTAGACATCTAACAGTTGCTAGAATGATGGGTTTTGAAGGGTTCTATGCTTTTATTCGTTCTGCTTCCAGACAGCTTTATGATGGCTGTGGGGCTGAAGTTACAGAACTCTTTTAGAGGTGAAGTAAGTATTTAATCCATTTTGGGTATCACCCGGCTGATGTACCCAGCTCTCAAGATTCAGATGAATAACTGCATAATCTTTTATTAATGTGTTTGTGTGTGTACACTAAATAAAATTATGACAGAAAATTAACTGTGAGCCTACGGCCATACGACCCTGAACGTGCCCGATCTCGTCTGATCTCAGAAGTTAAGCAGGGTTGGGCCTGGTTAGTACTTGCATGAGAAAATTAACTTTGAGTTTTAGCCTGGTTTGCTCTTACAGAGTTTATCATTGTAACAGTCCTTGAGAATATATATCCAGAGAGAATTACTTTTACCACCTAGAATTGTCTTACAAACCTGTGAATGCTTGCTGTTAATTGTGATTTTTATCTTAGTAACATTGAATATAGTACATTTTTCTCCTTAAAAAAAAAAACACTAGGATTACAATCAGACAATGAAATTCTCAAATCAGCTGTTGAACGCCACAAAGTACTCTTAGTAGAAAAGGATCGTGAATTAATACGTAAAGTACAAGCTGCCAAGGAAGAAGGTTATCAAAAACTTGTGGTATTACAAGATGAAAAGTAAGTACATAATTACCTTACTTTGTGTTAAATCTACTTGCAAATGAAAACATTCTGCTGTCATGTCATCCTTATTGTAGTTTTTGTAACATAATTATCATCTGTTGTTTTAGGCTTGAACTTGAGAACAGATTAGCTGATTTAGAGAAAACGAAAGTGGAATATGATGTCTGGAGGCAAACTGAAAAGGATCAGTGTGAAGAGAAATTACGGGCTTCACAGATGGCGGAAGAGTCAGCCAGGAGGGAACTTCAGAGTATTAGGTTATATATGTGTATACATATTTTACACTTTTCATTTTGAAAAAGTTTCAGAGCTAACAAAACATTGTAAAAGTAGTACAAAGAATTCCCATATAATCTTCACCCAAATCTCCAAATATTAACATCTTACATAACCATATTACAATAATCAAAGCTAAGAAGTTAATATAATTAGGAACTCAAATAAACGTTACTGTTATCAAGCCTATAGACTTTATTTAAATTTTACCAATTGTCCCACTGATGTCCTTTTTCTGGTCCAAGATCTAATCCAGAATCACATGTTGCCTTTACTTAGTCCCCTTTAATCTTGAATATACCAATAGTTTTGAAGAATGCTGGCCTGTTATTTTGTAGGCTATTCCTCAATTTGAGTTTGTCTTATAGTCTACTGATTAATACATTTAATTAAATTCTAGTCATGTTTAAATTCAAGATACACATTTTTAGCAAAAATAACATTAAAGTCAAAACCATGTATACTGCATTCATCATGTCAGGAGGTAAGTGCTTTGTCCCCTTACTGGTGATATTAACTTTGATCACTTGGTTAAGGTGATGTCTGCCAGGTTTCTCCACTATAAAATGACTATTTTTTTCCTCTTTGTAATATATAATTATGGGGAAGTACTTTGAGACTCTGTAAATATTCTCATTATACTTTCTCGTCATACATTCTTACACTAATTTTAGCATCCATTGATAATTCTTGCCTGAAACAATTATTACTTTAGCGTTTGCCAAATGATATTTTCATATTTCCATCATTCCTTCTACATTTATTAGTTGGAATTCTCCTAAAAAAAAACCGCTTTCCCTTCTCTTTAAATATTAAATTTATATCAGTTTGGGTGCATGGATTCTTATTTTATGATATGGGGTATAATTTTTTATTACAATTTATTTTGTTGCTCAGATTGTCAGATTTGGCCATTGGAAGCTCTTTCGAGTTCATTTCTATGTCCCTTTTTGACATGATTGTTTTCTGGCATCACAAGATGTTCTAGGCTCATCTTATACTTTCCCTGCCCCAGACCTGGAATCAGCCATTTCTCTAAGGTGCTCTGGTTCCTTTACAGTATATTGGAGAGTGGTATTTAGAAACCAAAATCTCAGCTTTTCAGTGTATTTATTGATATTACAATGTTATTGCTTCTAGGTCCTCTCAGTGAACTGAGCTAGAAAATATATTTATGTGCATACACACACACACACACACACACACACACACACACATATTCATGAGCTCATATTGATATTTCCAGTACACCATGGTATTCATTCTAGCCTTTTCTCTCATTTGTAACTTCTTTCTTTAGCAATGAGAAGTGCGGCTCTCATTATTCATAATATATTTACTTATTTTCTTAGTCCAAAAATACACAGTTTTGAAAGTGCTGATTTATAACAGTGAAAACCAAGTCTGTTAATTAGTGTGCAATATTTGTGTACACTTCTTTTTTTTTTTTTTGTCTAGCATATGAATATGCAAAATCTGCTTTCCAAATTTCTTAGGTCTGTCCAAGCCTCCCTTCACTGGTTGTATTATTCATTTATAAAACATTTGTTTCTTTCTATTCCATTTTGGTCCATTTCTTTCTATTTTTATTTCCATTTTGGGTTCCCACCTCATCCTTATTGGTTTTATTTATTTATTAACTTGATGTAGTTCTAAAAGACAGAACTTATTGACACTGGGTTTTTGTTTTTTGGTGTTTTTTTTTAAAGATTTTATTGGGGAATTGGGGGAGGGGAACAGCGCTGGGGAATCAGGGGAACAGACAAGTTGCTGTTCTTTTGTTCTTCAGTCTAGTTGTGGAGGATGTTGCTTCACTGGCCCATGTTGCCATGATCATTGGGCTCTTCCTGGGTGAGGCAATCGGTCGCCAGTCATTGGTTGGCCGCTCACGCTGGCTGCCAGCCACTCACGTAGCTCATGGCAGCCCACTGCAGCCTACGCCGTCGCCAGCGACTCATAGCAGCATAGCTCCAGGTCGAGCTGTTGTTCATCATCTTAGCTGTAGAGACAAGCGTCACTGGTCCTCAATGTGGGATCCGAACTTTGGCCCTGCTGCTCAGAGCTGGTGTTCCCAAGCGAGCTCTTAACCAACTGAGCCACACGGCTGGCCTGAAGCTGGGTTTTAAATCATAGTTAGATAGTCTATCTGCACTGAGGTTAAAAAAGAATTCACCTTTTTCTGTGTTTGTATGTTTTCATATTTTGCATTTATTGAGATCCTTGATCTATTTGGAGTGTATTTTGTGTCTTGTGAGGTATGGATTTAATTGTACTGCTTTCTAAATGACTAACCAATTGTTCTGCTCTTTTATTAAAACACTATCTTTGTCCCAATGATTTTGAAGACATTTTTATCATATTATAAATTTCCATTTATATTTGGGTATATTTCTAGATTTTCTATTCTGTTTCACTGCTCTGTTTGTCTATCCATGAGCCACTACCACAATATTTTAATTATAAAGGCTTTATAGTATGTTTTAATGTCTGGTTGGATCTGTCTTCCTAGTTTTTCTCTTACAGAAGTTTCTTGGCTATTCTTCCATGTATGTTTTTCCATATGAATTTGAATATCATTATCTAGCTCCAAAAAAGTTTGTTGGTATATTTATTTAAATTTTTAAGCTAACTAACGGAGAACAGACATCTTTTGATGTTGAGTTGAGTTGTCCTATTCAAGAAAGGAGATGTATTTCCATTTATTGAAATTTCCGTGTGTGTCTTTCAGGAGAGTTATAAAACTTTATGTAGTTTTGACACATTTCTTGCTTATTTCCAAGTACTTAATCTTCTTTGTTGATATTGTAAATGTTTTTTCCCATTTTGTTCTCTTGCTCATATTGTTTGTTTATGAAGACTACCAACTTTTACATGTCAATGTGATATCCTGCTAATTTGCTAATTTTTTTGTTGTTTGAGTTAGTTTTATTGTGAATTATCTAACATTTCTCAGGTATACTATAATGTCATCTACAAATACAGATAATTCTACTGCTTTACCAGTTCTTATGCCTCTAATAGACTTATCTAATTGCACTGGCAAGCACCTCCACTATAGTATTGAGTAGTTTTGGAGGCAGTGGGCATTCTTGCCTTGTTCCTGATCATAGTGGAAATGTCTCTACTGTTCATTCATTACAATGCTAGGTGTAGGATTAAGGTATATGTATATTTATCATTTTTATTTTTCTGAGTGCTTTCATCAGGCATGATATTGAAAGTTATCAAGGGTTTTTTTTTTTTTAGCATCTCTGGAGATAATCATGATTTTTCCTCCCTTAGCACTATTAATATAATTTATTAATGGATTTCGTAATCTCGAACCAACCTTAATTTCTGGAATAAAGTCGTTTTGACTTTAATGTTTTCGTTTATTTAAGGTGGTGGTGTATTCTATTTGTTAATGCTTTATGTAGTACTTGGTCTGTAATTTTCTTTTTTTTGTCATGTCTTCGTGTTTAGGCATCAGTGTTATCCTTGCTCTTAAAAAAATTAGGAAATGTTCTTGGTTTTCAGTGCTCTGGGACAAATATGGTACAGTGGAAGGCTTGGTAGAATTCCCCTGTTAAACCATCCAGGCTTGTGCCTTTTTCTGGGGTAGTTCTTTGATAACTCTGTTTCTTCTATTTTAAGTTTAAGTTTTCTATTGGGATCAATTTTTATCTGTATTTTCATAAGAAATTATTCATTTCTTCTGTATTTTTAATTTTATTTGCATAGAGATCTGCAAAGCAATTTTTTATTTTTTTAATTTCTCTGTGTCAATGCTTACTTTTCCTTGGTCATTTCTTATTTTGTATACGTGCTTTCTTCCTGTCTTAATCAAATTAGCTAGCGCTTTATTAATTTTTTATTGTAAAATATGCATAACAAAACTTACTGTTTTAATCATTTTTAAGCATATAGTTCAGTGGGTTATTTTTACTAGGGTTTTGATTTATTGAACCAACTGTTTTTCTATTTCCTACCTCATTAATTTCTGCTTTTATCTTTACTTCTTTCTTTTTTGCCATTGAAAAATTTTTATAATTTATTGGTGTTGAATGTTTTGGTGTTGAATGTACATAAAATAAAATTAACCCATTTAAATATGTACAGCTTGATGAAGTTTGGTAATTGCATACAGTTGTGTAATCATAACCACAATAAAAGCACAGAACTATTCCATCACCCTAAAAGTTTCCCCATATCCCTTTGCAGTTGACCTCTCCCCAGACCACAGCCTTAAGCAGTCCCTGATTTATCCATGTTGCCTCTATGAGTCGTTCATTCCTTCTTATTGCTGATTAGTATTCCATTGTGTGGATATAACATGATTTGTTTATCCTCTTGAGGGACAATGTTGGAGTTGTTATTAGTTTCGGACTATTATGAATAATGCTGCTAGAAACAGTCATGTACAAGTCTGTGTGTGGATACACAGTTTTTATATCTCTTGGTCACATATCTAGGAATGAGATTGTTGAGTCACATGTAAGTGTATATTTAATTTTATAACATATATAGCAATACTCTTTTCCAAAGTGGTGGTACTATTTTTCATTCCCAGTACCAGTTTCATTTGTTTCACATATCCTTACTGACACTTGTTATTGTCGAGTCTTTTTAACTTAATAATTCTAGCAAATGTGTAGTAATATGTCAGTATGGTCTTAGTTTGATTTTTTCTGAAGGCTAGTGATGTTTAGCATCTTAATGAGCTGATAGGCAACTTCACTTTTGTGAAGTGTCTGTTCAAATATTTTGTTCATTTTTAAAATTGGGAAGTTATCTTCTTATTGAGTTGTAATAGGTCTTTATGTGTTCTGCGTACAAGCCCTTTGTCAGATTCATGTTTTACAGATATTTTCCCCAATCTGTGGCTTGCTTCCTTATTTACTTTAATTGTGTGTACTGAAAGCAATCCTTTATTTTGATGAAATCCATTTTGTCAATTGTTTTTCTTTTTTAGAAAGTTTATGCTATTTTATGTTATGTTTATGAGAAATCTTTGCCTAGTCCTGTGTCACAAAGATTTATGTTGTTGTTTTCTAAAAGATTAATATTTTGGTTTCTGGTCTAACTGATGATAGTATGAGGTGATGGTCGACATTCCTTTTTTATTTTCATGTAGGGATCAAGTTGTTCCAGCACCATTTGTTGAAGACTGTCTTTCACCCCATTGAATTATTTTGGTAACTTTGTTGAAAATCAATTGACATATAAGTGTGTGTCTGTTTCTGGACTCTATTTTATTCCATTGATCTGTATGTCGGTCTTGACACCAATATCAAACTGTTTTGACTATTGTAGCTTTATAGTAAGTTTAATACAGGCAGTGCAAAGTCTCCTCTTTGGTTTTTATAAAGATTGTCTTGGCTCTTCTAAAGGTCCTTTGCATTTCCACATAAATTTTAAAATCAGTTTGTCACCTTTTCAATAAAGCTTAAGATTGTGATTGGAATTGTGATGAATCTCTAGCTCAGTTTGAGGAGAGTTGTCATCAATATTGGAGTCTGTCCCTCCAGTTCATGATTACGGCATATCTCTCTGTTTATTTAGGTCATCTTTAATTTCTTTCATCAAAGTTTTATAGTTTTCTTGTATATGTCATATTCAGTATGTGTTATATTTTATTCCTAAGCTTTCTATGTGATTATAATTGGAGTTATTTTAAAATTTTTACTTTCTCGTTGTTCATTGCTAGCATATAGAAATATAGTTAGTTGACTTTTATATGTTGACCTTGAATCCTGTGACCTTAACTAAAATCACTTATTTTCTACTAGCTGCTTTGTGGATTCCTTAGAGTTTTCTAAGCTCATGTCATATATATCATGTGCTTATTTTAGCTTACTTCATTCATGTTTTTATTTTTTGAATTGGAAATTTAATTCAACTAATATTTACTCTTTCATTTTTATTGGAAAAAGTATCTAGTGCTTATTTTATTATCACTACTTTAAATTCATCTATAGATTATATGTTTTAATTATTTTTTTTAGAAGCTCTCTCATTTCAGTTTGTATTTTCCTTTTCACTGAAGAGTTGTTTAATAGAAGATGTATTAATAGAAGGTGCAGTTGCTTAATAGAAAGTGAAACTAATAGTTTGTTAGGGCTGCCCTAACAAAATACCACAGACAAGGTGGTTTAAACAACAGAAATTTATCTTCTTACAGTTCTGGAGGCTAGAAGTCTGGGATGTCAAGGTGTCGTCAGATTTGGTTTCTCCTGAGGCATCTCTCCTTGCCTGGTAGATGGTCCCCTTCTTGCTGTGTCCTCACATGGCTTTATCTTTCTGCACGTGTATCCCTGTACCTCTCCTTATAAGGACACCAGTCATATTGGATTAGGACCTACCCATATGACCTCATTTAACCTCTTTAAAGCTGCATCTCCCAATACAATCACATTCTGAAGAGCTTGTGGGTTAGAATTTCAGTGTAGAGACACAATTCAGTACATAACAGAAGGTGTTTGAATTTCCAGGTGGGAGGTCTTTTTTTTTTTTTTCCTTATTTTGTTGTTGATTTCTAGTTTTATTGCATTGTGATCAGAGAGTATTATTTCTATTTCTATTTTATGGAACACAGTGTTTTCTTGTGACATAATATATTAGGGCCAGGACTAGAGTAAAGCAAGTAAGGCGCTCAGGGTGAAAAATTTAGGGACACACCCACTCATGTGTTGACACTGCACTTGCAGGAGCCCTAGAGTGAGTCTTAAATTTTACACCCCGGGTACCTCATTTGCCTCACCCCCATCCTGTACTCAGCCCTTCGTCTCAGTCCTGTAATACACAGTCGATTTTTGTGAGTGTTACGTAAGGACTAGAAAAGAAAGTGTTCAATTATAAGAATATAAAGTTTGATGTATAAATCTATAAGATCTATCTTATTAGCTATGATGTTTAGGTCTTCTGTGTACTTATTTATTTTTTGTCAACTTTATTTTTCTTGTAAAAGAATGATATTAAAGTACCCTATTATTATTATTATTTAGTGTGTTTGTATCTATGACTCCTTGCCTTTCTTGTAGTTTTTTGCTTCACAAAGGTGATTGCTGTATTATTTGGTATAGAGACAATCGTAACAGTTACAACTTAATTATGAATTATGGCTTTTAGCATTTAAAAGTGCTTTTCTTTTTGTCAATTAAATTTTTTTTGCTTGAATTCCACATTGTCTGATATCATCATTACTCCTGTTTTTTTATTGTTTTAATTTGCCTCTGTATACCTTTGTTTGTGTCCTTATTTTTAGTGTTTCTCAATCACTTTGGTTTTTAAATGTGTCTTTTATGTATAACATATAGTTGGGTCTTGCTTTGGAGCCAAATTAGAGATCTTTTTATTTGAATGGCTGAGTTCAGTCCATTCACATGCGGTGAGCCCATGCTGATACAAAGACTTCCCCGTCAGGAGCATGAGCAGTCTTTTGCTGGGATTTAGAATTATTTTCCTCTTTTTACTTACAGATGTTTTAAAGTTTGGCCATTTTCTGCCTTTCATTGTGAAGGATGTGGTTTTGTATGTCTTTATTTTTTCTCCTTATTTTCTGTATTGTTTGCAGGACATATGGCTAACACAGAACTAGATACCTGCTGTTCTCTTCAGCTACCTGGAAGTCCCGTCCCCTAGATCTGTTTTTATTTTTTAATTCTAAAAAATGAATGACTTCCTCATTACGTAGATTAAAGTTGATTTTTCAATATTTTGTTTATTAACTTGTAGGTTATATTTTGGAACAAGGTTTTAGATTCTCATTACTCAGGAAAGAATTACCTCAGGCAGAGATACATGTATTATTTAAGAATGTCAGGTGCTATGAACTATTAATTTAAATGTCAGCTTCTACAATTCTAGAATCATATATCTGTAATGGATTTGGAGAGCCAACCTTGTTTTACTCTTTGCTTTTGGGGGGGTACATTTTTCGAACTGTTCAGGACAGGAAAGTTTTTTATCTCTCCCTGACAGTCTCCAGAAAGGAGAAGGGGACCCTCACCAGGAACCTCATTCTAATGTTTTATCCTATTATGGTCCCACAGTTTGGCCAGTTGGAATCTTTTCTGTTAGAATTTAAGCCTGTTTCTTCTGGTTTGGGCTTCTGTTGCCATAGTGATAAAATGTTCAGCATTCTGTCATTACTTGAAGATAATAATGAACTTGACCCTTAGGTTTTTTGGTTTTTTCTATGTAAAGCAGCTTCATTCTGTTAGCTTTTCTTTAATATTAATCATTTTCTAGTCCATTAGTCACTTTGATAATTTTTCTTTGATTTCTCTTCAGTTTCTCCAGATCATTTACAGTGTGTTATTGACCCCAACCTATTTTAAAATAAGGACATAGTAACCAACATAAAACGTAGCAAGAGTAATTTGCAAAATTCGCTTGACCTTTTATTAATGATTTGCAATTGTGTTTTCCCATGGCAGTTCTGATTTTATGATTTATAAGTCTAAATACATCAGCCAGATCTATTTTGATTATTTGTTAAAATAATCATAACTGCAGTTTGTCTTAGTTAGAATTTGCAAGATGGCGTCTCCTAAACTGGCTTACTTCCCGGTGCCTTAGTGACACATTACGCGTCTTCCACCAAAGGCCATTTGCTTAGGCTGTTGTTCCCCTGTGTTTATCAAAATTCTCCCCATCGGATTCTAATCTCCAGGTAGTTTCCTCTCATCTTCATAGACAGAACTGACTTCTCATCTTCCTTATGCCCAGTTTTTAGATGTTTCCATAACTCAAGTAGAAATTTATGTTCAATTTTAGTTATATGTGAACACAATTTGGTTGCCTGAAGTCAAAATCTTCATTGTTGTATCTACTAGTTTTCACAGCACAATGCCTGGTGTTAATATGGGCACCCAGTAAAATGATTGTGTAATCCAGTGAAATATATGAACTATGGATTCTTAATATTATCTTTTGTTGGATTGTGATCTTCAGGTTAAAACTTCAACAACAAATTGTGAATGTTGAAAATGCGGAGAAAGAGAAAAAGGAAAATTCTGACCTGAAACAGGTATAATTTTAGCAAACCTTTTTCTTCTCTTTTTCTAATTAAATTTATTTGGGTGACTGGGTTAATAAAATTATCTAGGTTACAAGTGTACAATTCTGTAATATATCATCTGTATATCGCATTGTGTGTCACCACCCAGAGTCAAACCCTCTTTCACCATATATTTGACCCCCTTTACTCTCTTCTGTGTCCCCCGTACCCTCCCTCCTTTCCCTCTGGTGACCACTAAACTGTTGTGAGTTTTTGTTTTTATGTCTTGTTTGTTGCTTTGCTTTTATTTTTTAAGTGCTTCTTTAAATCTGTATTTTGAATCTGTATTGGAATTTTACATATCAGTATTTTGAAAATTGAGTCATTACAATTTATAATGTAGTGATGAAGCTGATATGTAAAGACAAAATGTGTAAACCCTAGCTTAGTAATCTTCAGATCACTGTAGTAAAGCCAGTATGGCAATAAAGTGAGTTGTAATCTCTTTACGGGTGGAGGGTCTTTCTTTCAGTTTGTAAAAAATGCAACGTCTGTGAAGTGCAGTAAAGCAAAGCACAATAAAACGAGGTGAGCCTGTAGCTACTTTTCATGAGAAAAAGTACTCCCAGATAAAGGTAACTTGGGATGGAGAAAAAGCCTGAGTGACATTTCATGGTCTGGTAATCTCTGTAGGGGCCAAGCAGTCCTTCCTGTTCATCAGGTTTCTGAGAGTATCTTCTACCCAACGCTGGATGCTTAGAAACTACTGGAAAACAATGGAAGAGTAATCCTTCCTGTTTTTATTATTCCTGACTTCAGAAAGCAGAACCTGGCAGGGTTGCCAATCACAGGGGACATGGGAGTGGGAGAGGGGATCTCCTTAGCTCTCCCAGCTGACCTGCGTTTAATATCTGTCCTTTTCTATGAGGCCAGAGAAAGTCCAATAGGAGCCTCGCTCTAATTGTTAGATTCTCTTTTCTCACGGCCCTGCTCTCCTCTAATAACTCTTCTCCGCACTCCGATACCTCTTCCTGCCTGCTTAATTTTGGAAGAAGAGAGAGGACTCAGTGGCAGACTGAGGAATACGGTTCTCCATAGTTTCTGGTTATATTAAGAAATGACCCTGCGCTAATGGAACCTAATGCTGCTGCTTATTATTATTTCATTTCAGGGTGTCCTCAAGGGCACATCGATTGGGTGGGGCATTTGTGAGGGAAGATGCTTGTATCCCCCTGCCTCTTACACCCACTGAATTTATTTAGTGGCCTTACGGTTCTCTTCTTTCTTTTTTTAAGCAAATCAATAGTTTGCAGATCCAAGTGACCTCACTGGAACAGTCGGAGAATGAGTTGCTGAATTCAAACCAAACACTGAAGGAAATGGTGGAGCGATTAAAACAGGAATGCCGAAATTTAAGAAGCCAAGCTGAAAAAGCACAACTAGAAGTTGAAAAGTAGAGTTTGCTTTGTTTTTGTACAAACTATTTCTTCTTTCTGCTATATTATATGTAGTTCTTTTAATGATGATTCCATGTTGAGTGTGTTTTAGGAACTAGTTTACAAATACCTGTTGACAGTGTACAGTGGGCTGAAGTAATGTACTTATCCACTTCCAGGAAATGAGCTTTATGGACTTGGGAATTTTTTTTTTTTTAAAGACATTTAGAGAAGAAGACCTTTTAAAACTCTGCCTGACCATAGTATTCTGAAAACCCTCAAAGAAAAACTTCTTTAGTCATTGAGTAAACCAATACATTTTTTACTTCAGATATCTAAATTATTCTTCTGAATGCGGACAACAGAAAAAAAATGTATTTTCGTGTGCAAAACTTACTTTCTAGAGTTAAAACTATAATCTTTTGGGTTTTCCCTTTGAAAAGCTCATTTACTTGTTTATATTTTTAGGTCTTGAAATTTGCTAGTAGCATACAGTACAGTAAATTGGTCAGGAGATGATTTTGGTGGTGTTCAAGATCTTATATTCTCTGGAAAATTTTGTTTAGATATGGTAGAAAACTATTTTGTATTTACTTTTCTTTATAACATGTAAGTCTTATAAATTTTTATTTGAATCCACAAAATATTTTCAAATTTGTTTTTCTGAAGGCTACCTTGCCACATAAACCTTTCTTGCCTTCATTTTTTCTGTTATTTCATATTTTAAGTCTTGCCAATGCATTAATATATGTAGTTGAATTTCAGGAAAATGAAGTAAGCAAGATATTTGTCTATAATGTGTTGCGACATTCCACAGCGTCCAAATTATTTTGCTTATATTTTGCAAGAAATAGAACATTGTATCTTGGAATTCTCAAGTGTTTGACTGAAATGTGCTTAAGAATTCTAATGACAATATCACTAGCAAATTTAAGTAATTCATTATTGCTTTCTGAATGTTATTCGTATGATCATATAGCAGAAAATAGCTGGACTCGGGTTTAATAGAATGTGATTTTGGTCCCAGCTAAGACACTTAAAATCTGTATGACTTTAGGCTTATAATCTGACTTCTCAGAATTTATAAATCTCATTTGTACTGCCTACAGTAATGATACTAAAAATTATATAAAGTATGCAGAAGAGCTTTAAAGGTAAAAGTTATGATGTTACTTTAAAATACCATTAATATGAATTTTACTCAAGCCAGAAAACATTCCTCATTAAGACTTGTTACCAGGGTTGATTTTTAGCTAACTTTCATAGGCTGTGTTTATAGCTTGATGGTTATCATGGTTCAGAGCTAGTTATCAAGTGTTTATCCTGCTGTTGACTAGGTATAAGTCTTCAAGCAAGCTCATTAACTGCTCTAAGCCTCAGTTTCTTCATTTATGGAATGGAGATGATAGAAGTACCTACCTCAGGTGCTTATTATGAAAAATAAATGATCAGTATTGCTGTATGATTAGCAAATACGTGGTCATGTAAGAATGCCTACAGTTGGATAATTAAGGATGTAGTGAATCAGGTAGTAGTAAGGTTGATTATACTTGTGATAGCATCTATTTAACTCTAAGAGTTAACTTCCATGTTTTGCATATATTCTTCTGACAGGACATTGGAAGAGAAACAGATACAGTGGTTGGAAGAAAAGCATAAGCTTCATGAACGTATCACAGACAGAGAAGAAAAGTATAATCAAGCTAAAGAGAAACTGCAGCGAGCTGCGATTGCCCAGAAAAAGGCAAGAGACTCTTATTAAAGTGATTTCTATAGAGTAAAGGATAATTATTTTAGGAGAATAAAATGTATAATTAAAACTGAGATTTTACTGGTGTATTTAATTTGATATTTAAACATGATGTTTGGCTGTCAACCTTGCAGAGATAAATTGGGAAAACCCAAACTGCTCAACCAGGTTTACTTCTAAATTTTGTGTACAAGTTAGTTTTTCAGAGCCAACATGCATTTTTCCACAGAGACAGTGTTTTTCAGTGATAGCGTTTCTAGACCAGCCCATATAAGTCCTATTAAACTGATTCTGCACTTAAATTACAGGGCGATTAGGCCGGTTTCAGCTGTGCTTAACTAACACTTGTAACATTGTTTTTGTGGTTAAAATGTTGGGGTTTTTTTTTGTTTCCAACTCAAGATTATAGGGGCAAGCATTTCTTTGCCTCAGCAGGAGGAACTAGGCTCCCCCAGCTCCTGAAATAGCCACGATATTTCCCACAGCCATGATCCTTTCTAAGCTTCACTTTGCAGCCATGTTTTCCCCAGAACCTAAAAACTTTGTTTTCTTAGAAATAGTCCAGGGCATCATGGAAATAATGTAATCACATGATTCACCTAAGTCAGTGGTTTTCAACTTTTTTTCTACTTCAACAAACCCAAGGAACGTAGCATGGCCCCATTAATAACTGCTACTCACTGTGGCAGTGGTTCACTCGTTATTTTCAACAAGGTTGGTGAATGTGTGTTGAGGGGAAGTAGTATTAAAAAAAAAATCCCACAAATGAGTTGATATGTCTCCATTTGATAAATTCCTTTAGCAGTGGCATTGGTTTGGGGGAGGTGAGAAGATCTGAGATGAGAGGAAGGGGCTTCTAAGCATAGCCATTCCATTATCTTAGTGTCTATGCTTATTGGAAAGGTTAGCTGTTCATATTTGCATAAGAGAACTGTAAATCATTTACATATTTTGAATTTAGAAACTAAGGACATAGTTTCTAGTATCTGTTTATGTTATTATAATAGATATAACTCCCAGATGTATTCTGATCAATGAGAAGTATAAAAGTCATTACTTCCTCACGTTCTTGATTTCTGAATATTGCTCTTTTCTTTCCATGATGCTAAAAGTAATATAACATTGAGATTAGAAAATAGCATTTACTATGTGGGAATTCCAGTGTCTGATACTCATATATAAATACTTGTGTTGTTGTTGTTGTTTTTGTGTATACAACTTTCTTTCAGGCCAAGTAAGTTTGGAGCATTGTGTGAGTATTGCTGGGATTTCAGTGAATTTTTTTATGATTTGGGATGATAGAATTCTATTTATGCTTCCTTGTACTGTTTGAAACCTAGAAACCTCTGAAGTCAGATGTTAGCTGGAAATCACTAGAAATTGTAAGAGCTGACTTGATCTTTTATAGAGAAATTTTTGTGTTGAGATTTTAGAGATAAGTATCTTAGAGATCAGATTCTAATTATTGAGGTTAGTTTGGGTTGATTTCTTTTGGAGCAAAAGTGACATCCAGTGGTGAGAGAGATTATCAACTAATCACAGGTATACCAGAAAGAGGGAAGGAGGTGATATTTTGACGCCTGCAAAATGACCTTTCATTGGTAGTATGAACTAGGATGAATGTTTTTCCTACTGAAATACCTGCCAAATGATGGGTGTGAACATAGTAAATATTCATTTCACTTTTTTTTTTTTTTAAGATTTTTATTGGGGATTTGGGGGATGGGAACAGCGCTAGGGAATTGGGGGAAGTGGAACAGACAAGTTGCTGTCCTTTTGTTCTTCAGTCTAGTTGTGGAGGACGTTGCTTCACTGGCCCAAGTTGGCACCATCATTGCACTCTTCCCGGGTGAGGCAGATCAGTCGCCGGCTTCTGGACGGCCACTCATGGCAGCTGCTGGCCACTCACGCTGGCTGCTGGCTACACACGGTAGCCCATGGCAACCCACTGCAGCAGGGGCTGCAGCCTACGCCGTCGCTGGCAACTCAGGCAGCCCAGCTCCAGGTTGAGCTGTTGTTCAGCATCTTAGCTGTGGAGGGCAGTGTCACTGGCCCTCATATGTGGGATCCAAACCGGGGCCCTCTGGCGTCCCAAGCCAGCTCTTAACCAACGTGCCACTCGGCCAGCCCTCCATTTCACTTTTTAAAATGTGATCTGTGGGTAATGGTTTGAAGTCATAGAAATTGTTAATCTCAATGGAGTGAGATAATTATGACCCAGAGCCTCTCCACCATGTGGGACACTGCCCTAGAGGCTTACAACTTTACATCAGGTAAAGTGGGAAAACAAACAATATATGTGACATAGAAATACTATAAAATGTGTGTAAGTATATATAATTTTCGTGCTGGGAGGAACTTAGCATTCAGATAGTTTATACAGATTAGGAAATTGAAGTGGTAGGTAGCCAGGATAACTTGACTAGTAAGAATCATCAGTATAATTAAAACCTATATCTTTCTATTCCCAATTCCATGCTTTTTCTGCACTGTTACTCTTTTAATTTCCCACTTTCTTTGATTCCAAATACTTTACTGTTTTTCTCTCCATTGTAGTCATAATCCACATGAGTATTATTTCCTATGGCAGAATAATCACTATAAAAATAATTTCTTTGACTCAAACCCTTTTCCCACTCAAATTAAAGATAATGCTTCTACATGAAATTTTTGGTTCTAAGGTTAAATAATTATAATTCCTAAGACTGCAATAGACTTTTGGGGTTCTTTAAATGATAAAAGTCATAATGTTTTTATGTAGTAATACTAAAACAAGTTACAAAATATTAACTATGGAGCAGAAATCATAATCCTTTAGAGTTATTTTCCTGTAAGAGGTTCTTATAACTGGGGAATAGCAGCTTTATTTTTTCCTCCCAGGCTAAATAAAATGGCTCACTGTTTATTTATGGCTCCAAGCTTCTAAGCAAAAAGCTTATGCCATTTCTGGTAAGTGTTTTTTGGTAGAGTCTCTGTATAATGTTATTTTGCTGTGTTGATTTGTTTGGAAAAGCTTAACTAGGTATATTGAGTTGGATGTCCTTCTGTAGGTGATGACTTCTCTTTTATTTTCTCTGCACATTGTTGAAGTGTGAGTGTGAAGAGAGATCTCTTGGTATGAGCACAGTGACGAGTTGTGCTTTTCCTTTTGAGGCACTTGAAGTGACAACTTATTTTTATTTTAAAGTATATCTCTCTGAAATAATTCTTTGTTCAATACTGTTACGAATGTTTTTGAGGGAAAAAGAAGGACCATAGTCTTGAAGTTGTAAAATATCTATTGACTGTGTTGTGCAGCTAGCATTATGCTACAAACTGGGGGAAGAATAAAAGTCGTGCTTAATTCCTGCCCTTATTATATGATCATATAACCTAATTGGAGAAATGAGATAACATGCAATATCTAACGAATACTGTTAATCACTCTCAAGTGATCTGTACGGACACAAAAGTTGGAGAACTAGTGTGCCAGAGAGAAGAAAGCTTGAAGACAGGGGGCCCAGTTAGGAACTATTATAATAAACTTAAAATGAAGTAAGAAGTCTGGAATTTGGATTTGTGGTATAGGAACGAAGATGAAGAGTGACTTCCAGAAGTATTCTGAAGGGAAAAGTATTTGGTGCTAAATAAGAAGAAAGAGGAAAACTGTATTATTTTAGCCATGAGAGGGAGGATACAAGTGGAGTTGTCATAATGGAATTAAGAACATGTGTCAGTTGAGGAGTAGAAAGAGGAGATATATTTGAATAAACACATGTCATATATGAAATGAGGGCAGTGTATCCATGTAGACATGTCCTAGACCCTTAAAGGCAGATATTGTGTAAATAACTAGAAATAATGGAATGTAAAGCTTGGAGAGGATTAATTCAGATTAGAGATGTATAATTAAGCATTTGAGTTTGGAGATGATAGAAGAATAAAAGGACTAAAAACACTAAGTTGACTTGGAAAGAGGAGCTTGATTTGATGAAGAATGGTCATAGAGGTAGAAGCTGCAGTGTGGTGTGGTAGAAGCCGCAGGAAAAGGAAGGCACAGAGATATGTGGTCATTGAGGATGAATACTGAAAAGAGTTCAATGAAGTTGCCTAGGTGGTAAAAGGGGAATCCAGCTTTGATGCTTGCATCAAAAAACAAAAACCTGCACACAAATGTTTATAGCAGCTTTGTTCACTATTGCCCAAACTTAGAAGCAACCAAGACGTCCTTCAATAGGTGAATGGATAAAAAAAATCTGTGCTGTGTCATACAATGGAATATTATTCAGTAATAAAAAAAAATGCACTATCAAGCCATGCAAAAACATGGAGGGACCTTGAATACATATTGCTAAATGAAAGAAGCCAGTGTGAAAAGACTATATACTGTATGATTTCAACTATCTGACATTTTGGAAAATCCAAAACTATAGAAACAGAAAAAAAAAATCAGTGGTTACCAGGGGTTGTGGGGGTGGAGGGTAGGAATGAATAGGTAGAGCACAGGGAATTTTTAGGGCTGTGAAACTATTCTGTATGATAGTCGGTACATGACATTATGCATTTGACAAAACCCATAGAATTATACAACACAAAGTGAAATAATGTAAACTATGAACTTTAGTTAATAATAATGTATCACTGTTGGTTCACCAATTTTAGGATATGTGCCCCACCAATGTAAGATGTTAATAGTGAGGGAAACTGTGAAGGGAGAGAATATATGGGACCTCTCTACATCCTGTTAAATATTCCTGGAAACTTAAAACTGCTATAAGTCTAATAATAATACTAATAATAATACTAATAATAACCCCAGCCACATGAGGAAATAAGATAACATCAAAAATCAAGAGAAATAACAACCAACATAAACAGACTCTCCTTCCCAATAAGGTGCTCCAAGTAATGGAATTATTATGTACATACTTTAAAATTATGATGTTGTATATTCTCAGAAATAAAAGGAAAGCTTGAAAATTTTACTGGTAAACTGGAAACCATTTTAAAAAGTGGCTAGTTTAGAA